GATGAAGCCAGCTGGCAAGCGAGGTATGGCGCTTGCTGATATGTTATTACGCAAAACGAAGAGGCAACAAACGTGCTGACCAGAGCGTCCGTGGCAGCGGCGGAGGCGTCTGGGCGCGTTTCGACGATGCTTAATGGCGGAGGGGTGGCGAGGGTGGATGCAGTCGAAATTGAGGTAGAACCTCGTCGTGGTTATTTTTTAGACGCCAACGGTTCATGATACTTGCACAACGAAGGCAAAAGAAAAATTTTTTGACGAAGGCAGGCAAAACGTTACGGAGGCCGTTAACTTAGATTCTGACATTCGTCGTGTCCGATATAACACAGAGAAAGGGAAACGGAGAAGAGCGAGGAGGAAGGCGCGGTAACGGAGACCGTCTTGCTTTAGATTCGATCCGACGGGATGGACGTCCTTCCGGAAAGTAAATATATCGATTCAGTTTGTCAGCTTGCAATAATTGGAAAACGTTGGTGAGCAAAAGCTTAATTCAGATTCGCATGGATTAACATTTAAGTGCTGAAGCATAGGCTTTGCGCTCAGATGGCGGAAACTGCCATATTAATTTCGTTTCATCTTACAAAGCGAAATCTTGATTGAATGAGGTCGGACTACGTTTGACGCCGGCTTCGGGACTCCAATTCAGACCCGGTTGTGCTGAGATCGTCACCTTAGTCGTTTTGCATAATCAAAACGTCTGATTTCATGTGTGACGTTCACATTATCCGTAGCCCTTCAAACTGTTGTTACAAGGCACCGGTTACTGCATCGCAGCAGAAAATATTTCTCTCCGGAAGTAAATCTGCTGCTTATGCCTCTGTGCCGCATGCTAGCTTCCACGCAAGAAGTTCACGGGCTGAAGTAAATGGTGCATGCTCAACTAGTTTGCATAACAGGGCCAACCTCCTTTTCATAATCTACACATCTACCGACATCACTCTGTCTGGAAAACAACAGAGACCTTCGTTACGTGGGCCTGTCATTCAACCCTCATTATGTGTCGACGCCAACGCTGCTGTGAGCAGCTGAACCGTCGTTCTTGTTCTTTCGTTAGAACAGCCGTCCTCATGCTGTACAACAACAATAACATGACAAAGGCCAAGTGCAGAAGTCAAGGAGGGAAGAATAGCACCTTTCTCAGCCTAAATATTCGAGGTTTCCAAAAGCGCTCCTATTTAACTCTGACTGGAGATGATGTATCCGAAATACTTAAACTAGTAACCTCCCGAAGGGCATCACATTTGTTCCAGTTGTAGATCAGC